GTAAGCAATATAGCAACATAATTGTGTGTAGGATGTGACAATCAACCACGCAAAAATATTGACGGAGTTTTTTAGTTACCTAATAGGCCTACTTATGAATAAATGTAATATGTTCAGAGTTTTGAAATTAAATATCAATAATAGTCACAGTTATTGTTTAACAAAAAATAGTGATAGAAGATATACCACATCACTTATTGCATTCAACATTACAACATGTAAAACTAAACATGTATTGGACTTCCGTGCCGACGTAAAACCTTGTATAACTTAAGTTTTAAGTTTAACCTTTATCGTTAAATACTCATATTATCCTCCATAATACTCAATACAATAAGGGGGTTTCGTCATAATAAAGCAAAAACACCCATATTTATACCTCATGCGTTGCGGGTCTAAAGTAACATTTTTATTTCATACGAAGTAAAAAAATAAGTTGTTGGAAACAGTTGTAAATTCGGATAGTGACAACGTATCAATCAAAATTATTTATCGATTGATTAATTAGGTCAAGGTTTAGCCTATTGTTGCAATGTTGACAGTAGTTGGACATATCGATGGTATAATGTATTGTAAACACAATCTTAATAGAATAAATGATTTAACTCACTTTTTAACCAGCAAATTATTTACGTTTACCAATACATACAAATTTATCTATTTACATATTTGATATTGATTCAACAGGAAAAGAAACTAAAACAGAAAAGAAATAACTAAGTTATTAACAGTCATAACATACATGGTGCATGATACATGTTATTAGGGTTTCATTTATCTGCTCCTTCATTATTTTTAGCTCTTACAACTGTATTTGAAAATTAATTGAAATATCATAAAACAGCTTTAGTAAAATAGTTGCGTCCATCCCTGTATATTAATGCGGAGCGAGCGAAGCTCTTTGGGATCAACCTCAATGCAACAAATAGAGAAACATCACTCAATAACGGCTGAACGCATTTCAGCCAAACTTAACAAAATTACTTAGACTAATAGTGAGATGGTTTTTAAACAAACAAATTTCAATTAAATAATGCTAATGCAATTTAAATCGAACTTAAAATTTCCAATATTTAACATTAGGCTTATGGGACTAAAGTATCCATGACAGTTTTTTTTGTTTACAATAAAAATATAAACAAGAGAATCATAAGGTATTTCTGAACTTTCTAGACTTTGCTTTTAAACCATTCCTATGATTTTTTTAACATTGAAAAATAAATAAATAAAGGTATTTTTTACAGTTCCTCTAATTAAGTTACATTGATGAACTAAGTTAAATTTAAAACAATTACAGTAAAATGAGACATTTAATACATAAAATTGCTTTTGAGCTGCCCTCTGCATTTTTGCTTCAACGAGAAAGGCCTACCTATAATCTATTATACTAATTCCGTAAGGAATTTCTTGCAACTGCCATTTGACTTGCCACTCAGTAAATATTTGTTTTAATTTGACAAATGTGTGCAAGACTATGGTGTCACAAACTGTTTGTCATAGGCTATTTGGCAAAAAGGTGCGCAAGACTGAGGCACGACAAATTGATTGTAACAATTGTCAAAAAGGTGCACACAACTATGAGGCGAGACAAATTGATTGTAACAATTGTCAATAAGAGGTGTCAGAAAGAAGTGTCCCAAAAATAGAATGAAAAAGATTAAAGTAAGTTAACTTGAAATACCCTAGCCTCACTTAAATCTTTCCGTAATAAATCCACACATAGGCTTGCTCAGAAGATGTTAAAACACTCACCTACATAGACACCAGCACACTGTAATGCCCAACCGGTAAGTTACTGAGTTACACTCTAACTAAGTTAAGTCTGCACAAAATTAACAGCCCCTACCAGAACCTACCAAGGTTCCAACATTCATAAGCACTAATAGAGGGACTGATTTGAAAACCCCATATTTTTGAAGGAAGAAATTCTAAACTAAACCATAGCCTAATTTTAACCTTTACAAATTACAGCCTTGCCTTATACTTTGGCCTCTTAAAAGAAGAACATCTTAACAAGGGTCATAAACAATACCCTAATCGGAAGAAAAATATTAAGAATAAAAAAACTCCGGCTAAGTAACTTAAATAAAAAACTCTTGTCTATATTAACCTCAACCCAAAAAGTAAACAAACGGATTACGGAAACGACTGGAGGAGCAATGAGCAGACAGCCAGCCAGTCACAGCGGAGCGCGGCAACAAGTGGCAGACAACGGTACTAACTAACTTGTCTGTCATCCAGTGAAAAAAAAAAAACAGAGGAGAACCGCTGCATGCAAGGTCAAGTCAAAATGTACTGACACTAAACAAAATCAAAATGGCTTCTTTAGTTCACGAGTTGCCCGTAATAAGCGCTGCTGTAGTTTCTGAGGAATATTCTCAGACTATTCCTAGAATATCCTCAACTAAGTAGTACAGAATGAGAAAATTCTAACAGGACTTTCCAAAGGAATATTCACTGTGAATATTCATAGAACGATCTGAGAATATTATGAATGTGCCACTCAGTGCCAGCACAATTAGATCACATTCAGAATATTCTGAGATCGTTCTGGGAATAATATGTGCTGTATGGGAGACGACTGCAAGCAAGGGGCGAGGTTAGGTTTCAGGTTTAATTTTTTTTTATCAGAATTTATTTTACAATCTGTTCAAATATGAGAACAATAAGTAAAACATATATCTAAAAAACAATGTCAGGAAGCAAGCACCTGTTCATCAACAAGTCTTGCCAAAAATTGGATTAATCATTTAAATATTTACAGAAATCTGTTGCTTAGGTCCAGCACATGCACAACACTTTTACTTTCTTCCCCTATACCATAGTATATGGAGAAAGTATTGTTTTCGTCAAAATTTTCGAGTTTGAGTTTTGAGTGGATATATTCGTTTTGGGTCCCCCTGGACCCAAAAAAGTGATTTTCGAAGTGATGTCTGTGTGTGTGTGTGTGTGGGTGTGTGTGTGGGTGTGGGTGGGTGCGTGTGTGTCTGGATGTGTACAGAGCTAGAGACTACACCTGTGGTCCGATTTCGATGAAATTTGGTATGTAGGTTCTAATCCATGGTATCTCGAGGCGTTTTTTTCATTTTTTTGAAAATTTTATTTTTAATGGGGATTTTCCCATAAAAACCCATAAAAAACCGGAAAAATAGGATTTTCTCAAAAATGGCCCAAAACGATTTTGATAAAGATTTAGTATGTTATAGCCTTTTAAATTCTGAATAAAATGGTACAATTCCCATTTCTGTAAAAATTCTGGTTCAAAAGTTATTGTAACTTATGTCATTTTCCCATAAAAAAACCCCCATAAAATAACAGAAAAATCGGATTTTCCCAAAAATGGCCCGAACGATTTTGATGTTTAAATAAATTTAGTATGTTATAGTCCTTTAAATTCTGAACAAAATTGTTCAAATCCCATTTCCGTATATTTACTCTCACCGCTTACACATAATAAAGGTTGTTGACAAAATTATGGGAGAAAGTATGTGTCAGAATACTGATACCGTTTATTTAATCTGGTAATGCACTGACTTTACTGACTATTGTCTAGCAGATTAACAGCAAGACTGTTCGGATGGTATTCTAATTTTTTTTGATAATTTTTGCTAAGGTCTGTAATTTCTTCTTTCACTGATTTAATTTTGAAGTCATTCCTAATTGTAGTGTTGGATACGAACCAGGGTGCGCCCTGCGCCTCCAATAATTCTTCTCACTGTTCTCAGTGCCTTAGCCTACTACTAGTAGTGATGGGCGATACGATACGGGTCAATGTATCGATACTGCGTATCGATTCGTATCGGAACGTGGTGTATCGATACGTGTATCGTATCGTATCCTCATGTATCGATTTTTATCTGTATCGGATAAAATATAGTATCATTTGTTTAATTATAATTTTTTTTATTTAAATATCTCAAATAATCAAGCTGCATAGACAAATACTATGTTACTTACAAGCTTGAAAAGAGGGTTATTGCTTGTAATCTTACCTCAGAAAAGCTGTTTCCTTCCTGTGTCTTTTTATTTGTATCAAACATACATACATAACCTCCAAATTCCAGTAAACCCTCAAAATTGGAAAAAATTTGGTTATTGTTTTTCTAGTTTTTACACAGGGATAATTCATTGAACCAAAAAGTACTAATAATAATGGTGGGTATGCCACTTACACATTAAATAGGATAATATGGATAATGAGGGTCCCCACTTCCATTAATGGTGGCCCTAGTCACGCCCGCCTTTAACTACAGGCCGCGGCCTGATGGAATTGGCAACATCGCAAGTGGTATGTTGTTCAGTGACAGATGTCCCATAAGATAACATGGCAGACAGGTGACATCAGCTCATTAATTCGCACTTTAATGATTTAAATTTATGAACATAAATTTATAAAAATTTTGAAAATAAAACATACAGAATTGAAACCCGAAACAAGATGAATTAAAATCTATATCTGTACATTTTTAAGCGGAGTCAATATTGTCATAGTCCAGTAACCAATCTTTCGTAAATACACAAATAATACCATTAGCTACTTCCAAACAAAAACAGCTGTTACAACACCACTTGCGACGTTGCCAGTTCGAAGGCCGCGGGCTGGAGTTAAAGGCGGCCGTGCCCTAGTTTTGAGGATTTTTGCAAAACATAGTTGAAAATACATGTTTTATCAGTGTTTTTGAAGATGCTAGGGTAAAACATCAAATTTCCACTAATACTTTTGAGGGGAGGAAGATGGGAAGACAAATTTCTTACCATAAAAATAAGATTTATATTAATAAATAAACAATACGATATTCGATACGATATTGGCCATAGGTGTATCGATACGGGCATATCGATACACTCCCGCGTATCGATACAAAATATCGATATTTTGAGGTGATTGTATCGATATCTGTATCGATATGTATCGATACGCACATCACTACACTACCTTAGCCTGAACTGAAATCGTTCAAGAATTTCGATCATCGTTAGTGGAGTGAGGAATGACGAAACAGTAGGGCAGTGAGTGAGTCGTTCCAGTCGTATTCTTGTGATTAGGTGTTCTGCTGCTCCCGTCTCACCTAGCATTAGTCGATTACTGTTCATAATAGCCTACATTCATTTTAAACAGATTTTCTAAAATTTTAAATATTTATTTACTACAACAACCTCTAATTTATTACATAATGTATCTTAACCAATGACAGTCTCTTGACTATCTTTAGTTCCGAGAGGAACTAACTCCGATCCAAGAGCCGGAGTTGGACTTGTCGTTCCGGAGTCGGAGTAGTTCGTTCCTGAGTTACTCACCTCTAACAAGTATAGTTAGTAGTATAGTGTGGCCTTGCCTCTACGTTGGATTTGCTCGTTCATACTTCATTCTTGATTTTTCAGGTAAGCAAAAGTAAAAGTAAAATCCGATATTCATATTAGGCTACATAAATCTTGAAATTACTGTGAGTATTCTAAAAACAAATATTGTAACTATTTTTTATGTCTAATTCTGAGTTGTTTAAGTTGTTAAAAAGTAAATATCTAATAAATACTATTAATAATAGGCAGTGTAAAAAAGAGGTGCATGGTGGTGCTTATTTCCCTGTTACTGGGGTATTAGGCACCACATGTTAATTTGGGGGAATAAGCACCAAATGTTAAATCTAGAGGTGAATGGGTGTACCTAAGAGGTTTAATGAAACATGTTTCCAGTTTCTGCTAATTCTGTTCTACCATTATATTCACAATTACTTTCACTGAGTTCATTATGTTTTACGCAGAGGATACGTGTCCGGTAACCGGACGTGGATTAGGCGTCCGGCAGCTAATGTCATAACCTAAAACCAACCAAACTTGCTGATAATGAAAAAAATCGAATGATGGTTAAATTCTGTTTATAAAATAAAATTATAAATGCCAAAAATTCTAACAAAAGATGTACAGTTAAGAATAAATGGCATTCAAAGCTAAATCTATTACAAAAGGTTACAGTTACCGATGGGATTCAAAGGGAAACGGACTTTCGGCCTGCGCTGCCCCTATTATATGTTGTAAAGGGTAGGTTTCTCGGGAGCAGGTACCTGACCTCAGCTTGCACTTTACCCATTAAATTCCAGGAATCTCCCGGAAATACTTGTGAGGTGGAGGACAGTGTCGTCGACACAGGAACCAGGGCGAATAACATTGGAGCCAAACCTTCTAGGAAATACATTACTATTGTATTAGAATACTGCTGTAATCTTTGGCATTAACGACTCAGGAAGTGATGGTGTCTGCGGTTGGTGGATATCCGCCCCAAATAAACCTTTTTGTTTCAAAATTTTAGATTTAAAAATAGGTACGCAAATTCCAACTACATATAATACATCTTTTATGCTTCTATTAATATATTTATTTTAATTATTTTAATATATGATAGTGATTTTTAGTACTGTAGGCTATTATGGCGAATTTAAATGTTTATATAAGTGGGATGTATGCCTATATATAAACGGCTATTATGTGGGAAACATTTCTACAATACACTAAAAGCCAGATCAGCTTTTGAAAAATGATAAAATATTTACAAGAAATGATGATATATTTCATAAATATAATTCATCAAAACATCCAACATCTCCAATCTAAAATTGACTCTTTAATAATAACAATTGAAGAAATAAAACCGGAAGTAATTATATATTAACTGAGCACAAACTAAAAATGCATGAAATTCAAAAATTGAAAATACCGGGTTATATAGTAGCTAGTTGTTATGCCAGAGCAGATTACAATGGTGGAGGGGTAATTATTCTTCTATCAGAAAAAAAAATCATTTAAAAATTGAAATTGCCAATCCATTAAAAACATTAATCTAGATAAAATATTTGAGTTTTCATTAATTGAAATAAAAACAGGGAAGGAAAAACTAATAATTGCTGGGGTATATAGAACACCATCAGAAAATATTGATGACTTTCTACAGAAATTAAACCTGTTATTGGATATGATGGACAGAAAAAAGACAAACTTTGTAATGGTGGGGACTTTAATATTGATGTTTTAAAAGAGGGTAAAAACAAAAGTGATTTTATGAATATTTAAAAAATGCATGGTCTTCATTATACAATTAATATTCCCACTAGAACTAATTAAAAATGTGAATTAGCAACAGATAATTTTGTAACTAACATAAATAGTAAAAGTTACGGAGTAGAATGCTTTATCACTGGGCTGTCAGATCATGATGGGCAACTGTTTAAGTTAATAGTAACTAAGGGTAGCAATGATAAGAAGTGTAAAATAAATTTGGAGAGTAGAAAGTTCAGCCAGGATAGTATAAACATGTTTATTAAAGATCTAGCATCTAGCTAATGAAGATTGGACCCAGCTGTAGGCCCTACACTAGACCAGTGGATGACAAATTTACCTATTTTTACGATATTCTGAAATATTATTTCAATTTGCATTTTCCAAAAGCCAAAACAGTAAAACATAATAATCACAACCAATGGATTGATGATGAAGTCATTTTTAATAGGAGAAACATACCTAATTGATCAGTACCATGTGTATAGAAACAACAAAAGTAATATAGTATTAAAAAACCTTATTAAAGAACAAAAGAAGCAGTATTACCTAATGATTCAAACAAAGAAAAAAAATATGTTTAGTAATAAAATTAAAAATTCTGCTAATGTTAACAAAACAGTATGGAGAATGGTGAACAAGGAAATACAAAGTAAAAGAGAAAAGCAATTTTCTAATATTGTTCTAAATCACAATGGAATTAAAATTAAAAACCCTGATATTGTTTCAAATGTTTTAAATGATTACTTTGCTGATGTGGTGGAAAATCAGGTCATACCCAAAATAACCTTAATAAAAACGTGTTACCAGTTAGTATAAACGCTTACTTTACAGAAACAAGATTCAATTGCAAAACCATTGACGAGAAAATTCTAAATAATATGATTGATTCTCTGGTCATCCGGATATGACGAAATTCCAACTAAAATTCTAAAAGAAGCCAAATCAGTTCTATTAAAGCCATTGGTTCACGTTATAAACTCTTCCCTTATAACTGGTGTTTACCCGGCACAGCTAAAAATTTCCAAGATAATTCCTGTTCATAAAAAGGGGACACTTCAGGAGGTTTCTAATTATAGACCATTAGCAATAAAACCATCACTTTCCAAACTCTTTGAGAAAAGTATACTGTACCAATTAATAGATTATTATGAAAAAAACAATATGTTAGACTCATAACAACACGGCTACAGAAAAGACAAGTCCACCACATCAGCATTGATATCTTTTATTGAAGATATTTTAGATAATTTAGATAAAGACAATTGTGTTGTTGGTGCTTTTTTAGATATGACTAAAGCTTTTGATAGTGTTCACCATCCCACATTAATCAATAGTCTTGAAAGTAGGCCTAATGGTATTTCTGGTAATGAGTTAAACTGGATTAAGTCATACTTAGAAGGGAGGAAACAGTATGTTAACATTAAATTTGTAGACAACAAAAATGAATATGATGTTAAATCTAAGTTAAGACAGGTTAAATACTCGGTCCCTCAAGGATCTGTTTTAGGGCCGTTTTTATCTTGTGTTATCTGGGAGGTATGCAGGAACTTTTGACAAATAAAATTGATAATATTAGACTATGTCTGTATGAAGATGACATTAGCATGTCAATTCATGACAAAGACAAAACTGAAGCAGAACAAAAAATGAAAGAGGCCATAACAGTAGTAAACACTAATAAGGCATTAATAAGGCATTTATTCAGTCATTCAGCACATTACAAATTAGCAATAGACATCGTCACATTTTATTTACAAGACTTCTCACGGTCTAACAATAAAGCTGGGTTTTCCTAGACGCGGAGTCGGCCAGCGGAGAGCGGACAACGGAGAGCGGACTCAGCTTGTCTTAGGTAATTTAATGTTACTGTTTTCCTAGCAGCGGAGCGGAATGCCATGTTAATTTCAATTCCGCTCTCCGTTGTCCGCTCTCCGCTGGCCGACTCCGCGTCTAGGAAAACCCAGCTTAAGAAAATGTAGGCTAAAATTTAAAAACACATCTGACATGTAGGCCTACATAGAAAAAACATTTACAATACCATGCATACACAACATTTAGTTAAATTACATAAAATCAGTCTCATGTGGGCAAGAATAAAAAAATTCACTAACATTATCAATACCCCCGTCGCAGCAAACCTGCATCCTAAGCGAATTTCCATTTACCCGGCTTGATTTCTACTAAAATATTCCTTATAAATTTTCAGATTTATTTCCTATTTAAATAACATTAATTTTAGTGAGTAGTTAGGTTTGCTGCTACAGGGAAGATGTTGAGATGTGTTTTTTCAATTGAAATATTGATAGCTTAGTATAAAATAAACCAAATTGCCAAATTTGATTAAAATATATCCATAAACAAGCAAACTAGAACAGTTTATTTATTCTCCATAAGAATAACATGGGAATTTTAAATTTACAATTTTTTTAATTTTCTCCGTAGTCAATGAACATTCAAAAACACTTCAATATACTAAATTATTTGTTTTTTAAGCTCTTCAAAATGGTCTAGAGAGAAATTTAGAAATTTTAAGTTTTTAGGGTCAAAAATGAGAAAAACCCATTTTTACCCCATAAAACCCCCCATAAACCCCTGATCCCATGGTCCGATTATGCTGGTTCGCGAACTCGTTCGAATAAATGTAGGTTTACACGTTTGTACCAAATTTCATCAAAATCGGATCAATTTTGCTCGAGTTATCGCGCTAACGGACACATATATAAATATATATATATATATATATATATATATATAAATATATATATATATATATATATATATATGAATTTGAACGGATGGTGTTTTTGGCCTCTGGGGACCTCAAAACGAAAAAGTAAATCGGTCCCGGGTCTAGGTCTTACCATGAGACCTACGGTAATAGCTTATTCCCTATATGGGAAATTCGCTAAAAGAGTTGTTTAAAAGCCATTTATGGAGCTTTTTACTAAAAACAGTTACAGACATGTTTTGGCAGACATTTGGCAGCTTGTTGAACATATTTAATCCTAGGTAGGTATGGTAATTCATAGTTTTTGAGAGTCTACATCTTTGAAGGTCCAGCTTATTTTTTTACACTTTCCTAAATGAAAGAAATCTTTTATTAAATAGAAGTAAAACATCATTGGTGAAATTTTCTTGCACAAACTTAAAAAAACAAAGCCAAATTTGATAATTTTGAAGAAAAAAACAAAGTTTTTGGGACTTACAGTTGATAATACATTAAACGGCCAAACATGTTGATAATGTTTGTAGGAAAATAAGCTCTGGAATTTTCATTATCAAAAGACTTCGCCCGTTTTGTAATGAGCAAACACTGAAGACAATTTACT